TAATATATATATATATATATATATATATATATATATATATATATATATATATATATATATATATAACAAAAATATATAATAACGAGTGGATTTCTTGTAGGGGGTTTTTATATTATATATGTATCTCGCGAAGTGTCCACTTGTGATAGCATTCTTGTACAAAGCAAGTGTTGCCAGATGACAGAGATAACACATCACATTTTGTATATGATTACAAAGAAAACTCGTGTAGTTCTTGGCTCTTTCCGGCACCAGTCAACAGTTCCTTAAGAAACGCTTTTCTACATGTTCCTTCATTCTCGATATAGATAAACGCCGAAATATACGTAAGATGTATAAGCCTCTTATTTTCAAAGTGGTGAAGCGGAGGAGATTTACTCTCGAAGCTTGTCCGCTCTCGAAATAAGCGATTTCTACGTAAAGCAGAGCGTGCCATTCGCTAGATAGCTATTTGCGAGGAATCGTGCAAGTAGTTATTGTAAATCCGATTTTAGAATTAAAAAAATTATCATCATAGATAATTCGTAAAGAGCTGGAAAGAGTTGATTTTTTCAGCGTACGCAGTTCGATACGACTGAATAGCTATACAACTATAGAAGTATAGTTTGACAGAGACACGTTCGCATAGAGCTTCAAAGACTCTGTGTAGAAAAGTATTTTTAATTCTCGATTCCACAATTCGCCCACATCCGGCAGCGTTACGAAAAACGTGTTTATAAACATAGCTGTTCTATCGAGGAAACACACACAAGTCTCCCCTTCCGGCTTCCAGAAGCTGTGGATATATGTCCAGTTTAATTAAATTCAAAATTCTCATCGATAGTTGAGAATGATCGGTGGGAGACACTCGCACGTGCTTTTGTACGTTCTTCGCATTAACGAGGCAGTACACACGATATTCGTTTAAGCATCACTCAATCCAATAACTTTACAAAAAGACTTTGCGCTAGAATTATAATTTTCGAATACGTATGATTTGCGAAAGCTCAAATAAAAGAAATAGGAGAATATTTAAATATAAATAAAAAATAACAATGATTAATATATATAAAATATACATATATAAGGTTTTTCTTAATTAATATATATTAATTACATAGCGCCATTCTTTATCAAGGATCAAATCGAAAAATTCCGAACAAATATTTTACTGTAATACTTAACAGTGGCTATTATTAAATAAATTTCAAACTTTTGGCGCTATTGAATGTTTTTAGTTAGCTGCACGCTCTTACATGATGAGAATATTAGTTTTCTTTTCTCATATAAATTCTTTTCAATTTTATCATTATTATAATAGTTCAGAAATAGACTGTGAATAAGGTTTATCTTTTACTAAGAAATATAGAAAATTTTACTAGAAACAAAGCACATTTCGCTAGAAACATAGTAAATGTTTCAACAGCACATTTCAGTTTGTAAGATTATGTAAGTAACACATTTGAAATAAAATAGTAAATTAATGCAGAATGTTGATTCCTTAGTTACGAAATTTTATAATAACTTTACTATAAAATTCTGTTCATATATGTGAATAAAAGACAGTGCGACTCTAGATCTTATTTAGTATTTATTATTTTATTAAGTATTACCGAAAAAAATAGTTCAGAATTTCTCGACTTAATTTTAAATAAGACGCTATGTATTTAGTAAGTGCAAATTAAGAAACACCTTATATAAAAACAATGTAGAGGGGAATGAGTTTAGTTTCTATCCTGGAATAGAGACAGTTAATGAATGAGTTTAAAAGAAAAATATTATTTATTTTGAATATATATATTTTGCTATTTAAGTTTTTATTTTATACTGTAAGAATATCGGATTTTTCTAATATATAGACTACCGCTCGGATTTCATAGCAACATTTATGTGTATAATTATGCATATGTATATTATAAAAAGATAAGCATTATACGCCACAATACATACATACATATAAATATTACATATATATTGCCACGGTCGAAAAATTAGTTTTCGTTAGTGCGTAGAGATAAACTTTTTTTACTATTCGTTTGATCGAAGAACGATATTCGCGATGCATTCGGTGTACTCCTTCGGCAAATGTAAATGATAGATTCGTAAAAGGAATTTTTACGTACGTTTGTATATATTGTGCAGCAAATACGAAGTCCTTCCTAATAGTTAATCTTATAAGAATAATCTCGGCGATTTCACGAGATATATACGAGATATCGTATATGCGATTATTTTAGAGCACGTGTAAGGTCCTTGATTTTACTCGCTACACATTATGCCAGAGTTATTTATTGTCGAATTATATATTGTAATATAGTTATTGCTCGCAGCGATTGATAACGCAGCGTACGTTCCCTGAGCGCAGATATTTATTGTGCTTTTTGAAATTAAATAATATTAAACAACGTGCTTGTGTATTTATTTGTTACCCACACATCTTGCACACTTTGCACTTACACAAAATCGAAAAATGATTTAAATTTTTTTCAATGAATCACAATCGAAAAATGATTTAAATGATTTAAATTTCTTTCAAAATAACACTGTTCTTTTTTTCACTTCATTTTTAAATAGCATAATTTGCCATCAGGTTAGGAGTTTTTCTATTAAACGCGACTTTAGGGTATTAGCAAAGTGTTTTAAACATTATGGATGTGCTACTATAATATACATAGACTCCGCATACAGTCAGAAAAGAGAAGCCAATATGTACAGCCCCTCTGTTCTCTGTCTCTTTCTGCATAGACAAAGTGTGCTATAAGATTTAAGTAAGACTTTTACTTGCCAGTTTAGTCGGGGTACTGTTGCGCTTTATAATATTATGGAAACGAGAAATGGATGCACGCGCAACAAAAAAGTGACAAAATAGGAAGAAAACTATAGCCCCTCTATTTTAGCTTTCTTTCTAAATATTGGCTTCACTCTATTAGAAGACAGAACATTGGGCATTCGGAGTCCATGTATACTATGTTCATGGATTGAACGTTCGTCCTTTTTTAACTTACTATCATTGTCCAACGGCACGAATCAGGCGCATCTTATCATTACCACCGCGAAAATGCGCAAATTTAGCGAACGAACGTAGTAAAGGCCATCACACACAAAATTCCATACGAACTTAAATTGTAAGCGTAAGGAAATCGACTAATCCCAATCGAGTATTCGGCTCTTCGTAATAATGAAGGGGTTACGGAGAGCCGAGTGTTCGATTGGGATTGGTCGATTTCTCTACGCTTACGTTTAAAGTTCTTACGGAATTTTGTGTGTAATGGCTTTAAAGGCGCACTTTATTAGATGTCTCGAAAACGCGCATAGCTCTGGCCATTGAAGACAGGCTGGTGGTCGCTCTCATGCTTCTCTCTGATTCTACTCAACTACTACCTGGCGCCATCTAATTGTGATGAAACCCATTACACTTTACGGGTTCGAACCTCAGCTAAGTAACCTGTTACTGTTAAACTCGATACTTTCATTACTTCCAAGCGTCTCTGCTAAGAGCCGCCACCAGTTCTATCGAGACCTCCAGATCGTAGTAGATTCAATGACAAGACAGAAGGATTTTTTATTATTAAGTAGTACTACTCAACAGTTGATCGCAAGACTTTTTTTCATTTTCAAATTGTACATCATCGAGAAATTTAAATTCCAATAGCAGTAATTTTAATCTCTCGTTCTAATGATATATAAATTTATACTCCATATTTCCAATAAAGTTTGTTGTTAAATTTCGTAGTAAATTACAGGAACATTAGGATTAATCCAGTTTGAGAATACTAAGGACTGTATTAATTAATATCTATTAGTCATCTGAAACTTGTCTCATGTAAGATGCTTAAATTTTTATTCAGAGTTAGATCCAAGTTTTTCAGTTGAATTATGACATATATGACATTTACATCTATAATCGCATGATTCAACTGAGAACATGATTCAACTTCTCATCCAACTCTAAATTCAAGTCTCAACATCTCTCTTGAGACGAGAAGTAATAACTGTTAATACGGGCCTAAGGGAACGGTCGGTTTTGCAAAAAAAAAAAAAAAAAAAAAAAAA